TGATTGATTGGTTGGTGGGGGAGGGGTCGCCCCAACCCCACGACCACGGGCGCACACACACACACACACACACACACACACACACACACACACACACACACACACACACACGCACACACACAATCAATCAATCAATCAAACCTTTGTTTTTCAAGTTTTTTGTTTATTTATTTTCAAATTTTGCATCTTTATTTTTCTAAAACACCTCATTCCCCTGCAAAAAACAGAAATTCATTTCTAAAAAATACAGGTGAACTCAGGGACCATATATCTGATGATAGAAAATGACCAAAAAAAAATCCAGCTTTTCTTTATATATATATTTTTAATTTTCTTTAAATAGAATTTAGTTTTTGAGTTTTTAAAAAATCCTGAACAAAGTCGGATTCCAAAAAAAAAACTATGGGGTTGTAGGCCTTAAAATTCCCTACAACCCCAAATATATATACATATATTTTAACCTATTATTTAATTCAGGAAAATTCTGGTAAAATCGGGTCCGCGGCGCGGACCAGGTCGACCTGTGGACGCGGACCCATCTGCGTCCGCCATCCGAGATCGGACCCGCGGACGCGTCCGCGGGTGTTTCATAGGTCTTCGAGGAACTTGCTTGGCCTCTACCTTGGGAGGTCTGTTATCATCTGCGTTGCTCATTTTCTGTCTTGAGAGTCCCTGCTGAGACTGGCATGGGGTCCTGATGGGGAAGGGGATAACGCGAGGGTTTGAGCGGAGCAAGGTAAGGTGGGCGGTGGGAGGAATCTTGAGGAGTGGGGGTAGGGGGGGGTGGGAGGGAGGGCGCAGCGGAAAGGAGGGGGGGGAGTACTGGGGGCGGGGTGATGGTTGGTGGGGATAGGCAGTAGAATAAAGTTTGTCGGAAGATAAGGGGCTTCAAACATACAGAGGGGTTTTCTGTGGCAATTGTGCTCCATGCTCCTCCAGTGTTTCCACGAGATATTCTGATTGTTAGGGTTTAGGGTTCAGGGTTCAGGGTACAGGGTGCAGGGTGCAGGTGCAGGGTGCAGGGTGCAGGGTCTAGGGTTTAGGGTGAGGATTTAGGGTTTAGGGTTATGGGTCTAGGGTTCTGCCCTTTCTCTCTTTCTGAGCTTGCAGCAATCCGAACTGGTGGTCCTTCCTCTCCAATCAGCATCTAGCACTCCAAGCTAGCATAAAATGCGCAGCCTCAGAGCCTCATGTATTGAAAAAAGTTAACTGCATATGGGGACCAATGCCTCGTCAACTGTTGGTTCTTCCCTTGTAGGACCAACCCACAGGTTTTGGAAGGTGATCAGAATGAGTATTCGGGCTTTTGACTTTTAGACTAGTTTTCTTTGCTGCATTGTCTTCCATGCCTCCACTGAGTTCGGATCTCTTGTCTCTCTCTTTCTGCGCTTGCAGCAATCCAAGCTGTTGGTCCTTCCTCTCGAATAAGCATCTAGCCCTCCAAGCCAGCATAAGAATGTGGAGCCTCATGTATGATAGAAGATTAACTGCATATGGGGCCCAATGTCTGGTTAACTTTCGGTTAGCACGATGTCCTTCAAGTGTCTTCTGCTCGTCAATCATGTCAGATCGTGGATGATGACCTTGCCATTTCCGGGTTGTTCTTTCTTCTCCGAAAATTTGTTATGACAGAGAATTTTTTTTTTTGGAAAGTGAACGCGCATTTGTGAAGAACATGCTTTCCAATTGACATGTTATGTGCTTGGAATTTCCAACGGAGTATGTGCATACCACAACAGTGATCTGTATGCCCAACACAGATCTGGATTCCCACGGCTACCTTTGGCAGTATGCTTTACCCGTTTCTATTGTCTGTGGCCCTGTAGTCCGTCCTCATGTCTTTTACGTGTCCCTGTCAGTTTAGCAGAGATCAAACCTCTCCGACCTTCACTAGTATGACCTTTAAACTGTAATCGACACTTACTGCCCTTGTGGTTCATGGCACCTTGGTTGTATTTCCGTTGTTCAGGCCAACTGAGCCGTACTGATGCTAAATACCTTAGTGTATGGTCACTGATTTTCGTTACAATTTCGGAGAAATTCCTTTTCGGACCCTCAGGCTGGTGATCCATTTGTGCCCCGCTTACCTGAGAGCATGATCCCCAGCTTGAGAATTAATTATCTAAACCCTGAGTTTAGCACCGAAGACTTCAACGTCCAGTGACCCCACACCATGCCCAACATTTTCCCGTGATGTGTGTCCTATGAAGGTTCAGATTGAGGATGTTATCCCTCCCCAATCTGGGCTGCGTCCTGGAGAAGATTGCCACACCACACACACACACACACAGAGGCACACAGTGTCACACACACACACACACACACACACACACACACACCCACACAC